AAAAAAAAAAGTTCATCAAAAAAATCTGAAAAAAAGATATGTTATGGAGAAAACTAAATTAAACAAGATTTGCCTGAGTATTACATCCGAATTCCTTACCAAATTTGAAATACAAATAAAATACGGAAAACAAATACTAATAATAAAAATAAATAAAAATAAAAAGAGAATTAAATTTAGTGAGTGCGCTAGCATGTTTTCGACACCGCCATCTTTGGCGATTTTTTTTTTTTTTTTATGGCATAGCTAAATGCCCTGAAAATTTACAGATGTGAAGTTCACATAATACAAAACCCACTAAAAAAGTTTCAAAAAATAATAAAATTGTTTAGACCCGAACTAAAGTGAAAACAAAAAGTAAAAAGTGAAAAAATATGTGGGCGAGCACGTTTTGACACCGCCATCTTTGGCGATTTTTCATTCTTATTTGGCTTAGCCAAATGACGTGAAAATTTACAGGCATGTACCCCACGTCATAGAGAAATCTTAAAAAAAAATTCAGAAAACAATTATTATTTTTAGGCCCCGAAATAATTTTTGGCGGGGGCCGAACGCCGTCGGGTTCGGACCCCGTACGGGACCCCGAACGCCCGTACGTACGGAGGTCTGCCTGGGGACCTCCCTACGTACGGGCTGGTGACCCTGAAGATAATAATAATAATCCTACACTCAATTAACAAAACACACACATACTTAATCAAAATTGGTTACACTAAATAACTTCCTTTATAAAAACGGAAAAGAAATACCTGCACTAACAAACGAGGATGGACACACACATGGTGTAGTCCGACGTAGCAATACAAATTTAAATATGAGACTGAGTACCCCCCCAAAAAAAATAATAATAATAAAAATACAAATAACACTACATACAAAAACGAAAAAAACGTGTCTGTCCCGCTAGTCGGCATGCTACACACTACATGACAATCAACGAAGCAAATCAGACGAAATGACACCCAACAACGTGCCAAAAAGCAAATCTCCCGATTAAGACATAGCGACACACGCGCCATAGCCCTGTCTACGATCAACATACTAAAAGACTAATCGACCTGAGATCCCGATTTAGCTATACAAGATACCTAGGTACTGGCCCACCTCCCAAAAGTGTGACTTACTACATATAGACAAAAACGCGCGCACCTTGCACACAATACAATAACCTTCAAACACCAGCAAAAATAATCTAACATATGCTAAGACGCCATTCACACCATTCATTCTGAACACGTGCACGCATAGTGGCTGCAAGCACGCACAGCAATTCGGACATCTCCGCCGAATTGCTGGACACGAAGTGGTGGCCAAAACTGCTTCAAAATGTATCCTATTTACACCCCCCGTAATACACCACATACCCCCCCGCGCGCACACGTAGTTGCTGCAAACACACACACACCACCCCAAAAAAAAAAAAAAAAAAAAAAAAAAAAAAAAAAAAAAAAAAACACTACATCCAAAAACGAAAAAACGTATCTTTCCCACTAGTCGGCAAGTTCCACACTACATGACAATCAACGAAGCAAATCAGACGAAATGACAACCAACAACGTGCCAAAAAGCAAATCTACGATCAACATACTACAGGGCTAATCAGCTTGAGATCCAGATTAACCATACAAGCTACCTAGGTACTGACCCTCCGCCCAAAAGCATGACTTGCTAAAACGCCATTCCCACCATTCATTCTGAACACGCGCACACATAGTGGCTGCAAGCACGCACACACCCCGTAATACACCACATACCCCCACACGCACACATAGTCGCTGCAAACACACACACACACCCTGCCTCAAACCCCCACGCAGTAAAATGCCCACTAGTAAACCTTCCCAGATGATGCACATTACACCACCACCACCTTTCTACAAGCACCCGAGTAGATTACGACTATATTACATACTACGGCTCATACAAGCAAACCGATCCCTGCTGGAGATGACTACGAATGCTCGTGCACTGCATAGCAATCCTATAGTCTCCGGCTTCTCTGCGCCATCGCCAGCTGTGCGCTGCATCCGTCTTCTACTTCACCCCCCTCACTCGCTAACTGAGCATTGGATACTCGAGAGCGAACGCATGTTGTGGCATCTTTGCTATGAGCGCTATTCCCGGCAGCGGTAAGACAGGACCGTCAGGAGGCAATGGCTACCGTCGAAGATGCCGCATCTTCGCAAGCGTTCCACCTCCAGGTAAGCTAATAATCTACTCTATATTTGTCTAAACTGTCGTATCCTCTTAACACATTCTACCTAACAGGAGCCTGATACTATCCCTCTGATGAGCTGCCACGAGTGCTAAGCAGCGAAAAGCACGCTTCAGGGCGTGCACCCCCCCTATGGCCGGGTTCTACTACCCTTTCCTAACCCATTCTAACCTACTAATTCTAACCATTCTAACTTGCTCCTCATAACCTAACCTATTTGAATGATCCTGTACCTAATCATGTTTCCTGTTTCCCGCAATGGACAGAACGACAACGTCTAGTTTCCCATACTTTATGGGATAGCCGTGTTTCACACACCTACTTCACACACACACACACACACACACACACACACACACACACACACACACACACACGCACACTCGGCCCCCTCACAAATAACTTAACCCATCACACACACACACACACACACGCACACACACACACACACACACACACACATTCATCCCCCCCTCCACACACACACACGGCACATACCTCGAACCCACATACTAGTTCAAAGTTCAAACATACATGCATCCACACCACACTAGCACATAAACAACAAAATCGGACCTTAAGAAAAACATAACCCATATGCACACAATAGCATCTGCCTGAAACCTGCACTAACATAGGAACCAAAAATATCCACTACCCCTCTCAAAAGAAAAAAAGCATTGCAATCCGCATAACGTATTACACCAAAACCCAACCCAACCGACGAAAGAACAAAAAAAATGGCACAAAAACATGGCCTGCACCAAACGCAAAAATAACCACAATGATAAATCCGTGTCATAAAAAACAGAAACAAAATAAACACTGGCACCTCAAAGAAGAACCCTTTCCTAAACAACTCCCCATGGTATCCGGGAAGCGCAATGAAACGACGGAGACCTACACCTTGCAGACAAAAACACCCGCGGTAAGTTATACGCACAGTCATGTCGCAACACCGACGCCAGCTACAGCCCCGCATGACACACCCGCTTCCCGAAATAGCCAAGCGACGCTGCAAAAAAATACTACATCACTAGTTACCCCTACAATAGATCCTCATCCTAAGCAGCGCCAGACGACAAGGAAGATACAAACACCACCTACAGGAATTCCTCAGACATAGGGAAACACACACGCAGAATGCAAAAGAACACCCAACCTGATATGCAATAGCTACCACACAATGCCCGTCAACATGCCACATGCCCCTACACCCCCCTCTACTCCCATGACCGGCAATCACACTTCTTACGACCTCTACCAAACCCACACTTTTCAGATGAATACCATGAATCCCCCTAATTCCCCCTCCCGTTCGCCCAAACCAGAATCATCCAAACATGCCTACCCCCGCTACCCCACCCGTCCACCTCTCCACCGCCTCCACCACCTCCACCACCCCCATATTCTGCCCATCAAACTATCGCTACCTCCTACATCTACGTTACTGATAGGCGTTGCCCTCCTCAAATAGTGTATCCCAGTTTGCAAATCCTAGCCTGCGCTACTCACATCCCATGTGGGCACTTCCACGCGCTACTACGGCTACATCTAGTCCCAGTTGCTCAGAATTTGAAATCGGACGGTTACCGGTCGGCCCCTATGGGCGCCAGCTATTCAATCCACGGAACTAACAGCCATCCATCAATCGATCGCACAGTTTGCTCCGACGGGCCAGCTATCACCGTATGTTCACTGGCTATGAGTCTCGCGCATGGTCTACGAGGCTTTAGGTCTCAGGTAATCTCTCAACGATCACTGCCCTACCTTCAACATATTTTTGTCTAATCTCGATTCTCCAACTTGAATAGTCTTCATCAGCACTGCCTGGATTGATGCACCTCCTCCTACTCCAAGTCTCGGTTGCTTGGTCTGTCACATACCTGCCGCATGTGTATGGTACATTTGAAATTCGTAATTCTACCACGGCTCGCTACTATTTTCCTGCTCTACTAGTTTTGGGCGCGTATAGAGCAGTAGGACTATGAGTCATGTCCACTACTCCATTGCCACGTGTTGACCAAAATTCACAATGTCTACAGCCAGTAATTTCCAAGGTACTTTGAAAATCTGATAGCCTATGCTAAAATGCCTAGGACCTGGTAATCTAGACAGTATGGTCACGTACTAGTTATTACTG